CTGGAAGGAGTTATGAGCGTCCAAATGTGAAAAATTATTCTAGTTCCAACGAATATAGTTCGTTAAATTTTACCTGATAGCGCGGATCTACAGTGGCTATGAGTACTTCATACAAGGAAGAAGTACAATAACCAAAAACGTGAAGAAATATTTTTTATAACGTATTTCGTGAATAATTCGCTACAGAACACTTGACAATTCGCACATTCAAACGCTTATAACTTCTTACAGATAGTCGTCTAGCAGAAAAAAAAAACATATATTTGAAACCGCGTTTCAAGACGAATCTGACGATTCACAGCGCTGGTATGGCTGGGTTAAGTTCTGACTGTTCCCTGCCAACTCTGGATATACAAGCAGAAGCCCGTTTACCACATCTACTCGTTTAAGAAAAAGGTTTCAAATCTTTAAATTATCGTCGTTTTTTTTTTGTAAAAGAGCCCGATCGGGTCATGAGCGTTCAATTACAGTGATGGAGTAGTGCCCGCTCGAGAGTGGGGAATTAAAATGTCGCCCCGTTACTTAGAGGGAAATTACAAGGTGCCTTAAACGGCAAAGATTTTTTAGGCACTGGCCAGACCCACTCAAAAAGTGCCCAAAGGCGTTCAAAAGCGCCCAAAACTTCTTCAGTCTTTCTTCACTTTCTCGTGTGAAGAAATACGAGAGAAAGTGAAGATGGATTAAAAATTTGATAGCTTTTAATCGGTCAGGCCGGGCCTTAGAACTGCCTGTATTGCCACTTGAATTTGGATTGGAAATACCCTGACATTATAGATGAAAAGCAAATGAGTTTTGTTCAGCACTTGGCAAAGATAAGAAATTCACGTTCGTTCTCGAAAGAATTTTTGCATTCTGTCCGAATGCCGGGAAACGGACGTGTTTGCGGTGCCCCTGATTAAACGCACTGTTGCGGGCTACACACGGTATAGTTTATTCGTCGCCATTTTTACCCTCGCGTACCATTCTTGCAAGGGAGTGAAGTTTTGTTTGTTTTTTGGGGAGTACACGCTGAACATGTAAGTTTTTAACTACAAAGATCGTTGGAGTAAATTTCAATGCTCTTGTATATAAAATTTATTCTTAGGTAAAAGGATGGAGGTGAATGATATATCTCACGAATATCTCTCGGAAGGCGAAGAAGCCATTTTAGTGGAGGTTAGCTTTGAGTCCGTTTTTTTTTCGAAATTTTAGTTGCATTTGTACAGCACATAACAACATTAAGCATTTTGGCGAATTTATTTCCATTCCAAATGAGTGTCATGCTCACAGTTGATAGTGATTTAGGATGGGATCCACATAGAGGGTATCGATGAAGTAGTTTATGTCAATGACATCGGTGGCATTATCGTACCAGAGGTGTATCAACAGTGGCCAGAAGGTGCCGTTGCATTAGAGGAGATCAGTGATGAAGGACAGGTGAATAGGTCTCATTTTTAAGATCTTCATTTTGAAGCTTGAACCATGTATGCTGATAAGGAACTTGCCCGGTAGTGCTTGAAGTCACAGTAAAATCTTGCTTACATTAGGTTGTCCCGAAAGTAATGTCGTTTCATTTTTGAAACTTTGTAACTTTTCGCTTTGTCAACGGATTCGCTTCCTTCTAAGTTCTTCAAAAAGAAGAAGTTTTCCTCTTTGTAGTAATACCTTGGT